ACTCTCACAAACCTCTCTGCAAGCAATTGCGGGTGTGTCCCCCACACCTGCCTCAGCTGCTGGCCAGTGCCCATGTCCTCCCACACAGGAGGTCACACAAAGAGGCTCCCAGCACCCTCCCCCAAATGGCTCTAGAAGTGGACTGTCTCCAAATCCCAACCAAAAGAAAAAAGACAGACAGACAGAAAGAAATCAGCCACCTTTGGAAATCTCTCAAGGGCTTTCACATCAAAAAAGAAAAAAAGATTGGAGCAATGTCACTGGGTTGACCAAGGACAAGAGGACAAGTGGTAAAGGCTCAGGAAAGGAAGAAAGGGTTCCCGTTTCTTGCATTTCCCAAGCTGAGACTCAGCAGCCAGGGTCTGCAGCATCAGAGCAAGTGGCTCCAAGAGGGGTGGGGGCTCCTCCCAGATGGGTTCAGGAAGGGCTGCCTCCTGCTTCTGGTGAACCATATGATCTTGACTGAATGCCCCCCTCCTCTTGTCTCCTTACAAGGGGTCCATTACAGTAACACCAGCCTGGAATCATGTTTAGAGCCTTGGGTGTCACGGTGTCACCCCAGCCACAGGGCAGGCATAGTGGTAGATGATCTTGTGTGCACTTTACTCGACTCCTCTGGGCAGCCTAAAGTTCATTTCCAGACCCACAATGGGGAGCTGCAGATTGGGCTTCATTGTGCTGGGCCCCACCACCTTGGCCCCGGGAACTCCTTCTAGGCCCCCCACTCTATTCTGAGAAGGGTAGAGGCTGAAGTCAGTCTGGAGTCTGTGGCATGCCTCCAAGAACCCACTGCGCAGCAGGCAGCTCCCTGGGTAGTGGCTTCCACCCAGGCTGGGTTCTGCTGCCACTCAGCCTATTCCAGTGCTGGGGTCCAATGGCTCTGAAGAAGGGTCTCCAAGACTGGCAAGCAGGGGTTCCCAGTGGCCTCTTCTCTCCCACTGGTGGGCGTGCAGTGGCCTGGTGGGTGTGTAGCCTGCCCCTAGTGGATGGTGTGTGTTGGTCTAGACGGTGAGACCTCCCCCGTGAATCCCAGCTCTCTGCTCCTCCCTCATTCTTTCCCTTCCTCGTTTCCTTCTCCCTTGCTGCATGGGGACCACCATCCCTCAAGGTCTGTCTTGGTCTTTCTACTACCTGCTGCCCCCAGTCACCTCCTTCTTCATCAGCCATGGGACCTTAAATTAGTGGCATTCATTTTTGTGTGCCTTTTTAATGTGTCCTATCCACTTCATCCTCATTGGGTGGCAGAATGACTGGGTCCCACAACCGCTGTTTTCTGCATGTGCACTATAAGGCCCCGGCACACAGTAGGTGTACGAAGAGAGAGACTGGACAAAGAGAGAACACAGTGATGTCTGTTTGTGAGAAATTGTTCATGTATTCTTCTGCAAACTCTCACTGCCTCCCTGCCACCTGGCCTACCTTGTGCTAAGCCCTGAGCTGAGAAGGGACAAATGATGAGGTCCACACCCCCGGGGAAGTGACATTCTGCAGGAAGAGATGGACACTGGGCCATCAGTGGAGAGGTGTGTGGAGGACAGAGGACCGTCACAGCCTGGAGGGCTTCCTGGGAGCAGTTGGTGCTTGCTTGGATCTGGAGGTCAGCTAGAAAGGCAGGTGGCCAAAGGTAGGAGCTGCGTGGTTCTCCTTTAGTCAGGAGTAACTGGGCCTGGGTCACAAGACTGTGTTCTTGGTGGCCATCTGGTTTAAGACACAAGTGTGGGGCAAACTGCACCCCTCTCTCACCCAGGCCAGTTCTCCAACCCACCCCTCTGGGTCGTCTAGTTGGAGAACAGTCTGCCAGCTTTGCACAGGGCCTGGCACACTACCCATCTCTTCCCTGTCACCTACCTGTTTCTAATAAGTTCCATGTGCTCAGGGCCACCTGAGGAACAGCAGCGGGAACCATGGTTATTGAGCTAGGCAGGTGGCAGACGGGGAGAAGGGGCAGCTGTCTCCCACTGTTCACGGGGCTGTGTTGGGGAGGGGTCCTGGAGGTCTAGACCAGGGGCTGTGAGCCAGACCCGCGGAGGCAGACATGTGCTAAGTCTGAGGGCGAATGGTCCAGCTCCTAGGGCAAGGTCCCATGCCCCAAGACTGGAAGACAGCCTTTGGTGGAGATGCTGCTGGTGGAGAGACCCTGACTCAGGTGACCAAGTCAGGACCTTGGGACTGTGCCACGACAGTCCCTGGGAGGGACAGACTGGGAGGACCACGACAGAACTTGGTGGGGGACATTCCCTTTGTTATCCAAACGGGGGGGCCCAGCCTCATAACGTGAAGCAAGACAACTGATAATCAAGACGGGAGTGACCCCAGGACTCAGAAGAAGGAGCTCCTCTAGATTTCTGCTATCCCCAGCGCCAACATGCCACCCCTCTCCAGATCTGTGGAGACTCCCTACTGGTGACCAAGGGGGAGTGCCCCACAGGCTGGGGGGCAAGTAGTCCTGTTCTCTGGAGGGGTCTTGCTACCCCCAGCCCTCTGTGCAGGTGAGACTCCCAGAGGTGAAGTATGTCCTCTGAAGTCACAGCAGGGTGGGTAGAGCCAGGACTGGAGCAGGTCTCCCACCTTTCCGATTGATGGTCTTTGCACACACCCTGCACCCCTCCCGTTTCCCCCACTTACTTAGACTCAGTGAGTAGAGGAAAGAGGGCAGAAGTGGACCCTCCCTTCTCAGCACAGAACGTGATACCGTCACCTCACCTGCTAAGACTAGAACCAGTTCCGTGTGGAGAGCTGTTCAGGACCGTGTCTGCCATGCATCCCTAAGGACTGGCCCTTCTTCCCACAGGGCCCCTGGATCATGTGAGGTCCTTGCCTCAACCAGTCTCCCTGGGAATAGGGCCCAAGACTACAGGGAAAGGAGTGGAGGGCAGTCCCGGGAGCAGTGAGGTTGTCTTTCAATAATTAAAGCATGTTCCCTGTTCCCCCTAGCCTCAATTCCCACCCCTGCCCTAAGTTGAAGCTAGGCATTTGTACTGATCCTTACCAACCCTTGGTTTTTATAACATGGGGCTGCCCTTGCCAGGTCTGGCCTCCATGCTGCAAGCTGGAGGGCACTGCAAGGGTCCATGGAGTACAGGATGGGCATGGGAACAGGCGGGGCAGTGCAGGGGCCACCTCCCCTAGCCTGGCCGCCAGGAAGTTACACAACAGAAATGTTTATTTTTGGTGAGCTGGGTGGGATTTCTTTCCTTAAAAAAAAAAAACCCAAAACATAAAACTTATTTGTCTGCTAGGAAGATAAATATCTTTGCTGAAAGCTCTTGGACCAGCTGCCAGTTGCAGTTTGCATGATGCTGTCACCCAAGCCATGGCCGTCCGTATGTTGCTGGGCTCACATGGGTGTCATTCAGTGTCTCTCCCAGCTTCCTCAGGGCACACAAGAAGCCAGGGACCCTGAGCCTCATGCCCCAGGATCTAGATGGACTCAGAAGCCTGGGCTAGAGCACCATTCTTAATGCCTGTTGATTGCACAAAGTGAGGGTCAGAATGGCCAATGCTCACACCTCAACACATGCTTGTTGTGAGGAGTCAGAGCTTGTGTGTGTGAAAGGGTTTTTTTGCTTTGGTTTGGTTTTGGTTTTTTGTGGTACTGAGGTTTGAACTCAGGGCCTTCACCTTGGGCCACTCCACCAGCCCTATTTTTTTGTGAAGGATTTTTTTGGAGATAGGATCTCACAAACCTTTTGTCTGGCTGGCTCTGAACCCCGATCCTCCTGATCTCTGCCTCCTGAGTAGCTAGGATGACCAGCATGAGCCACCAGTGCCCAGTGAAAGGTTTTGTCAAATGTCCCCCAACGTGTCTTAGTAATCACATACATTCTCTCACTCAACCTGGTTCCTTCTTCCCAAGTCACAGACAAGGCAATGTGGCTAGAGAGGGGCTCATACCCACATCTACAGACACCAGTCCCTGCCATCCCTGCACCCCAGGGCTTCTCCCTCAGAGGACTTGTCCTGAGTCAGGATTCTGTATTGCTGATAAGGCCTGGGAGTTTGTGACTCTGAACCCAAAATGGGAACGAAAGCCCACACAGCCAGCCCTGTGTGGAGGGCCTTACACATCAGTCTCGTGATTTTTCACAGCCTCTGTGCAGAAATCCTGCAGGTAACTTCATCCTCATTTCCAGAGGGGGAAACTGAGACGCAGAGCTAGAGAGGCTCAGGTGTGGGGTTCTCACCCTGGTGCCTGGCTCCAGAGCCCGTCCTCTAGGCCCTCCACCATCCAAGCCATTCCCACCCCGCCTCCCAGCCTAGTCTCCATCTCCTCATCCTTGACCCTCATTGCTTTGTCCCTCACACCTCTGCCACAGGAGTCCCGTTCCATCAGCTGTGGGCTCTAGTGGGTTGTGCTCAGGCTGACCCACGAGGCCCAGATGCGGGTGTCCTGGGGATAGGGCCTGGACAGCTCCAAGAGATAGTGGGCAGCCACTGCTGCTGAAAGGAAATGTGGCCTATGCCCCAACTGTGCCCACTCTCAAGGAAGGAAAGGTCCTCTATGGGACAGACTCTCTATGGCTACTGTTGAACCCCAGGAGGGACCAGCCTCAGCCTTAAGACTGGTCTCTCGCCTTCTCTCCAAGCCCAGTGGGGCAGACATGGCTGCCAGTTGAGTGAGTGCTCTCCACCTGCAGGCACTGGGTCACCTGGTTCACGGGGTTGACAGAGATTCGGCCAAGAGTGTTGCCCCGGGACAGGAATCTAGAGTCCATGGGTGGGGATTAAAGTCACAAAGGTCACATTGACCAAGCCAGGGCCACACTTCATGGGTGCTGGAAGTGACCCATTCTAAGATGATGCCAAAGAGGGTCAGAGTGGAAGGAACTTGTCCAAGGTCACACAGCACGTTAGCAATAAGTCCAGGCTGGAACTTTAGTCTTCTGACCTTGAATTCAATGCTCCTCTGCAAGGGGAGAGGCTAGGTGGGCTCCACAGCCTCCCTCCTCTCTTGCTGGGGGTGGCCATTGCTTTCTGACTCTCTTTCTTCCCCCCCTCAGCCAAAGAGAGCTCCCTGGGTGAACCGGAGTTGCCGCCCGACTCTGACCCTGTGGGCATGGACAGCAGCTACCTCAGTGTGAAGGAGGCCGGGGCAAAGGGGCCCCAGGACCGGGCGAGCGCCGACCTCCCGAGCCCACTGGAGAAGGCCGACTCGGAGAGCAACAAGGGCAAGAAGCGGCGGAACCGCACCACCTTTACCAGCTACCAGCTGGAGGAGCTGGAGAAGGTCTTCCAGAAGACCCACTACCCTGATGTGTATGCACGGGAGCAGCTGGCCATGAGGACGGACCTCACCGAGGCCCGGGTGCAGGTCAGCCAGGGCTACGGTCTGGGCTGGTGGGACTGCAGCTGGGGTCCACCCACCATCCCTCCTGCAGCTGTTCCAGGCTGTCCTCACCCCAGGCCCTCATCCCTTCAGCCCCTCAGCCCCCACCCTTACCTCAGTAGCAGGCTCTGTGGTATAGGGGCAAAGGTGGAGGTCTTCTCACTGTCTCTGGCTCTCCAGGGACAAGGCTGTCCTGGCTCTTGAGGCCAAGCTCTTTACTGGAAGAGATGGAGGATAGGTCTCTTAGACAGGAAATGGGATGAGCACGGCATCCACAGCAGCCCCATGGCATGAACAGAGAACCCTCCAGCTCTCCCAGCTATCTGGTGGCCCTCTTCCTCCATCTTTCAGGTCCGTGTCAACACACCTTCTCTGAAGGATCCTCTTGGCCACCTGGCCAAAGCAGTGGTTTCCCCCAATCCCACAAACCCAGTTCAACCCAACCCAACCCAACACAGATCAATTCAACTCAGCATAATATAACTCAACTCAAACCAACCACACAACCTGACCCAACACAGCTCAGTTCAACCCAAAATAACCCAACTCTGTACAACCCAACACAACCCTACCAAACACAGCTCAATTCAACCCAACACAATGCAACTCAACTCAAAACAACACAGCTGAACATGATACAACACAGCACAACCCTACCCAATCCAACACAATACATCTCAATTCAAACCAATATAACTCAACATAACACAGCCCAAAACAATACAACAGAGGCAAAGACAACACAACAAAACAGAGCCTAACATAACACAACACAACATACCCTAAGACAATACAACATAGCCCAACACAACATACCACAACACAGCTCAGTTCAACCCAACACAATCAACTCAACTCAAATCAGCACAACACAACCCGATCCAACACACCTCAATTTAACTCAACACAACTCAACTCAAACCAACACAACACAGCTTAATTCAACCCAATTCAGCCCAACACAGCCCAATAAAACACATGCATAACACAGCCAAGCACAGCCCAATATAACACAACTCAACTTAATCCAATACAACCCAGCACAACTCAAACCAACACAACTCAAAACAACTCACCCAACACAGCCTCGCATAGCCCAACACAACACAGCTTGACACACCACAGCTCAACTCAATCCAACATTAATACAACTCAATAAAACCCAACACAACACAGTACAATATGCTCAACACAGCCCAAATACAGCTCAACCCAACACAGCCCAACCTAACACAACCTAACACAACACAGCCCAAGACAATACAACACATCCCCAATACAGCACAACTCAACTCAACCCACCCAGCTCAATCCAGCTCAACTAAACCAGACCACTTTCTAGCACTTTCTTTTTTGTGCTGTTTTCTCTTTCATATGGAATTTGTGACAGACTTACATAATTTCTCTTGTCTTTCTCCTTCCACCAGAATGTGAATTCCTCAGTCATTCACTACTATATTCCCACCAACTAAAGAAGGCCAAACTCAGAGCACAAGGGCAAAAATTGGTATCTGAGACCAACTGCCCTGCTTTGTCCAGAGGGTGAATCCCCCTTCTACATGGAATCATAGCAAAGAAGGCACTAGAAAGAAAGCAAAGACCTCTCAGTTTTCAAAATACAAGTGACAAAACCCACGCACTGAAGTTCAAGCTTCAGTTTAGCACAAAATAAATGTCATGCTCAAATTTCTTTCCCACTCAGAGCATGCTAGAAAAGGTCAGTAGGGCAGAGGCGTGGCTCAAGCAGTAGACTGCCTGCCTCCCAAGCACAAAGACTTGAGTTCAAGCCCCAGTGCCACCAAAAAAAAACAAAACAAAGGCCAGGGCCACACCATCATATGACAGACTCCCTCCAGGAGGCCAGGCAACCAGCAGCTTGAGAGCCAAGAGGGATGCTTTTTAATCAACCTGCTGTCATGTGAACATTGGGACAGACAGCCCTGCAGCCCCCGGTGGCATTATTTCTCTGGAGGGTGCCCTACAATGCAGTTCTAAGGCCATGATAAAATGCTGACCCATCTTAACTATGTTGTTTAACACCCCTGAGGCATCTGTAATTCAGCCCAGAGACCCTTCATCCAAAATGTCAACATGGAAAAGGTCCATCAGGTAAACACACAGCTCTGTGGGTACTGCCTGGGCCATGCTACGGGGTCCCATGGTTTAAGGAAGGAAGGCAGGGCAGTGGGCCTTACCACCCTGCCAGAAGCCCTCTCACACCTCCATGAGACCTCCCAGCCTGAGCCCTGGCAGGACCCCCAGAATCCAGCCTCAGTTCCAGCTGAGGGACTCAGAGAGGGAGATGAACAGGTGGGGCTAGGGGAGAAGTGTGTTGGTTGTGAGCCACCCCTGTAGGCCTTGTGTTGGCGTGGGACAAACCAGCTCGCTGTGTGAACATACCTGCGTGTGCACCTGTTCTACACGCATGCTTCCTAACAAATGAATAGGAGTGTCCAGAGCAGGATTGTCCAGTATTACAAAAAGGGATGGCCCATTCAGTGCAAAACATGGCAATGATACTGACACACAGTCACAACTCTTCAGTCACCACCATGCAACTACACACATGCCTACTTTCAAACTAGTCGAGGCAATTTACAATGAATGATTTCTCATGTTAATCTAAGATCAAGAACACTGACACGAAATGGGGACGTAATTATGGCATTAATCTAGGGTAAGTCTCCTAGTTGCCACTCTAGCTTCCCGCACCAGGACACATGGCAGATTGTTCTTAGCTTTTCTTGTAGGAAGGCAGCAGGATGTGTGGGATCTCCATGTACATCAGACCTCTGGGTTGACTCTGAGCCTCGCAGTGCCCTGGGGGTGTGGGGACATGATGGAACCCCCTGCCTGCCTCTGTGGAGTTTGTTCGGGCCCACACTCAGCTGGTGGCAAGCCAGGTGCCTGGCGTAGAGCAGTGGTGGGGACAAGGAGGGGGCGTCAGAGGGTTCCAGGATGGACTTTTCCTGGGAAGAAGCCTGGGGTTTGGCCTTGCTCCAGGGGGGGCTGCTGGGGCCTCTCTCTGCTGTCTGGGATTCCAATATCCACAGCTGGTGTCTGAAGACAATAAGACAGAGGCCTCCCCGCCCTGGGCCACCCCACCCTGGCCCCAGATGGGCTGCGGTTAGTCAGGCCTCCGCCAAGACAGTTGGTTCCTTGCACAGCCTGGTTCTCGGGAGAGGCCTGTGCTGAGTGGGCCCAGGCCCGGGTGGGCCCCAAAGCGGGGTGGTCCTGGGCGCGACATGTAGAAGGGGAGAGTGGCTGGGACCGCACGGTGGGTTCTGCTCCCTGGGGTTGCACAGTGGAGACAGGCCCAGAGGCACAGCTGGGGGTCAGAGATGGAGGACCCTTAATGTGAGCCCAGAAGGGCCACCCGGATGCGCCCGTCACCTCCCAGTGAATGGGAGGGTACTGAAGACCAGTCAGGCTAACTTAGCTATAGTCTAGATCTGACATGAAAGCCAGAGCACAAGCTCCACTTCAGGCGCAGGGTGAGGCTTAGGGACAATGGAGGCTTGGAGAAGGAGGTCCTGGGCAGATCTGCTCCCATAGGCCCCTGCTTCCCACACTCTGCCCACCCATCCATAGCCTCAAATGAATCCCATAGCCTGGCTTTTCCACTCCCTTCCCAAGCCAGTGCGCCCACCACCCCTACCCCCATCTGTCCTCATCAGATAATAACGGGGCTGCTTTCCCCCTTCAGCCCCGCATTCCATCCCCCACCTGCTCCTCCCTTCAACTGGAGACCCTTTTGCCAGATACCAGATACACCTCTGATCTCCCTGGAGTCCCTCCAGTGGGTCCAGAACCTACAGCAATACCTCCCACCTCCACATTCCCTTGATGAAGGTTACCTGGAACCCACAGAGGCATCAGGGAAACCCCAACTGCCACAGCAACGTAAACTTGTCTTGCCTTTGCCCCACCCCCCAAAGAAAGAAAGGAGCCAGGGAGCCATATATCTTGGTGCCTCTGGTGGGCTTCTCCCTTCCCCCAGCTTCCCCCCCCCAGAAAACCCTGGGAGGCTGAGGAAGGAACGGAAGGCTGAGCTCAGCCTGCAGGAAATTAAACATGAAATGAAAACAAGCCCCTCTGATTCATTCTCCCAGCTGCCCCAGCCCCCACTCCAGGCCGCTGATAAAGGGGGATCCCATTTCACAGCTCAAAACCGAGCCCCATGTGCCCCTGGCTCCCAGCGGGCGGCCTGGCCCTGCACCCCAGGGGCTCCCTGTGGGAAAGGGCCCCCAGGAGGCTCAGTCCAAGGACTGAGACCCCAAGCCTGAGAGAGGGCCATTCTCTAGGGAGGTCACAAGAAGGGCACTCTGTGTGTGTGTGTGTGTGTGTGTATGTGCATGCATGTACATGCCTGTGCACAATGCATGTGTGTGCACGCATGTGTACCCCTGTGTACACGTGTATCCACGAGGAGGAGGAAAGGGAGCTCACGCAGGAATGGAGAAACACCAGTGTGCACCCCACCCCGATCACCTCTCCCTCCCACACTGCCATGAGACATGCATTCCCCCTCTCTCTTGACCTCTTTCCTCTGGCAAGAGAGCGAGAAAGGTCAGGAGCTATAAATAAACAAATGTGAAGTGCTCTGAAAACTCAGTGACTGCCTTCCCATCTGTCTCCCCCACTGCTCCAGCCCAGCGCAGATACCGGCCCCATCTACAGATGCAGAAACTGAGGCCACTGGCCATGCCAGTGCTCCATGGGGCCTTCTGTTTGCCCACTGCACTAGGAGCCCAAACAAGCCACAACCTCTGTGGGGTCCCCTCCTTCCTGTCCCTTTCCCACCCTGTCTACTCTCATAACTTACTCCATCACAAGTCAAGGCCCAGGGCAACAGGCTTCAGGATGACCCCTTGTCCAGGCTTTTCTCACCCTGCCAGAAATATTCCTGTCAAGGACAAGGACCAACACCCCCCCACCAGGGCCCCTGGCATGCATGCCAGCCTCAAGATCTCACTTCATAGCCGGGTGCCTGGCCAAGCCAAGGGCACACCAACCACCCATGCTCAGTGACAGGTGGCCCCACTCTTTGGCAGCAGGCCACCCTCCTGCGCAGGATTTTGCAGTCACCTCCTCCACTGGCAACCCCCCCTTGCCATTCAAGGACCTCCAAAATCTGACTCCAGCTTCCACCTTTCTTTCTCTCCTGCCACTTCCCCCCAGTTGGCCTCTTCAGGCCTGAGCTATCATCCTGCCTGCCAACCACTTAAGGCCCAGAGCCAGGCCTCTCCTCCAGGAAGCCTCCCCTGATTGCCCTTGTTCCTACAGGAACTCAGACACAGTAACTCTCAGGCGTTCTGAGAGTTCAGAGAGTTACCGGGGAGGCTTTGTTTCCGTAAGAAGGCTGTGGAGTGGATGCAAGGGGTAGGAATTCTGGATCTAGTCCTTGTTAGAAGCTATGATGGAGCTGAGTGTGACCGTGCAACGTGAGGGATTTTGGGGAGATGTTTGAACCTTTTATTAGATTTTCTCCAGGAGTCTGAACCACGGCAGAGAGGTGCCCCAATGCTGGGGCTGGTTGGTGACTGCTAAGAAGACCAGCAGTGACTTATTTCCAGTGTGTGTGTGTGTGTGTGTGTGTGTGTGTGTGTGTGTGTGTGTATGGACACTTGTCTGGATTCTGAGGCCTACAAATGAAGTTACTGGAGAGTAAGCTGCCTCCAGCTGAGTATCAGTAGGTCTAGATTGTAAGCTCTTCAGGACAAAGACCAAGGCTGACATTTATCTGTGGCCCCACAGCTGCTCCAATACACCTGACACACCCATTGTGATTAGTGGAGGCTCAGGGAACAGTATGATCTGCCTGAGGACAAGGCCTCCCTGCCTGGCCTGCCCCTTGTGACAATTGCTTTGTCCGGTAGGTCTGGTTCCAGAACCGCAGAGCCAAGTGGAGGAAGAGGGAGCGCTTCGGGCAGATGCAGCAGGTTCGGACCCACTTCTCCACCGCCTATGAGCTGCCCCTCCTCACCCGAGCCGAGAACTATGCCCAAGTAAGTCCTGCTAGACTGCCTCCCCGATCCCAGGCCTCGATGTCCTGACAATGGCTTCTCACAGGAGGGCCTGGGTCCCCAGAGATGGTTCACACGGCTTCCCAAGCCCTTCAGGCCCATTTCAGGTGTGTACCTGTTTGTACCAGAACGTGGGAGCTCTGCAGTGGCTTCTGCCACTCATTGGCTTTAGGCTGGGAAGGTGGGGACAATAAGAGTGGTGTTAGCCACTTCTCTGTGAGCATCAGAACAGAGGCGGTGGAAGGCCAGGGCCTCCAGGTCATTGGCTGTCACTCAAGAGTGTCCCCCTAGGAAGGAGTTCTGTAATCTGGAGGGCGCGTAGCCAGGTTGGGATAAAAGTGGACGTGAGTTTCTTCCCAGCTGCAGGTCTTGCTTACTTCATGAAAGCCTCCAGTTCTTTGAGCCTCAGTTTTTGTCATCTATAAACTGGACTTGATATAAATGTCAGCATCGACTCTTTTGTAAGGTTGTTGAAAGCCGAAGGCCCCATGCTAGGGCCATGCCAGTCCTCAGTGAGCGGCAAAGGGACAAGAAGTTTTGTGCATGATGTCAGCCACCCAGGATACCCGGACAGATGTAGGATTTTTTTTGTTTGGTTTGGTTTGGTTTTGTAGTACTGGGAACTAAACTCAGGGCCTTGCCCCTGCTAGGCAAGCCTATACCTCCAGCCCTTTTATTTTTATTTTATTTTTGAGACAAGGTCTCAGTAACATTGCCTGGGCTGGCCTCAAACTCCTGTCCTCTAGCCTCTGCTTCCTGAGTAGCTGTGATTACAAGTGTCCAGCTAACATATATGTTCTTGATCAAGCCCATCCTTGCCATCCCTCAACCTGTCCAGCAGAGGTGGCCTCCGCTCCCTGCCTGGGGCTCATTCTTGTGTGGCCTCTGCCGTCAGCTCCTAGCCCTGCCCCTGCTCCAGAAGCCAGCCTATGTCATAGCACTGCCAAGCCTCCATTCCTCCTGCCTGCCTGGGTGCCATGCTAGCACACGGGCTCTGGACTTCCCACAGAGGCAGCTCTGCACCTCCCCCACATCCTCCAGGAGGTAGGGGCAGGGGGCAGGTCTGCAGGTGAGGCTGAGGATCGAGGGTGTCTCCCACATGCACCACCTGCATCAGCTCCCACTACATTCTTTCCTGCCCTTCTTCCCTCTCTCCCTCCCCACACCCAGGGGTGAAACTCCAGCCCTGGCTCTTTGACCTTGACTGCTGCTATCTGAGTGGGAGGGAGAAGAGAAGGCCCTGCTTGTCTTTCTCACCTATAGTTTCATAAACTCCAGGCTCCACACCTCTTCCAAGACAGGGTGGAAAAGGGGCCAAACTTCTCCCTTCCCAGGGCATGCTGGGAGGAGGAAGGTGGCGTGATCAGTTTGCAGGCACTTCCTCAGAATGCCCAAGGGAACTGGGCCAGTGCCTGTTCTACTCTGCTTTTAAATGTCTTCCAAGTGCCCTCTAAGCCCTGGGGGGAGGGCAGGCCAACAGAAGCCTGCCTGAGGCCACCATGAGCCCAAGAGCTTGTCCTCTGTATCCCAGGTCATCCTCCTGGCAAACACTTAGAGGGTGGAGGAAGGTGAGGCCCAGAGCTGGAGGGGACAGGATTACATTTGCATCCATAGAAGATAAGATATCCAGTTCAACCTCCATCCACACCCTGTGGCCCGTGGATGCCAAGCCCCCCACTTTATTCTGCCCACTCCTATGACAGCTTCTTCCATTCTGGGTTTAGTTCTGAAGCCTCAAGAGTTCCATCTCTGGGGCTGGGCATGGTGGTTCACATCTGTAATCCCAGCATTCAGGAGGTAGAGGTAGGAAGACGTAAAGTTCCAGGTCAGCCGGGACTACTTGTTGAGACCCTGTCTCAAAAACCAAAAACCAAACAAACAAAAAGAGTTCTGTCCCTGGAACCTCAGCCACTGACCTGGGCCTCTGGGGGCATTTAGGCCCCTGCTTCCCACACCCACCCTCCATTACCCCCACTTGCCAAGCCAGAGCCTGTGTTCCCAACATGAAGCTCTCTGGTTACCCCACAGCAGCCCTTTCCCCAGAGTCTCCGTGCAGTTTGCAGTTCGGTCCTTGCTACTGGATGCCTGCTATATCCCGCTGACCTGGACACAGAGGTGCCCAAGCATAAAGCCCCTCCAGGGGTATCTGGGCATCCTTCAAGGCCAGACACCCAAGAATGGTTTCATGTTGGGCACCAGTGGCTCACACCTGTAATCCTAGCTACTTGGGAGGCTGAGATCTGGAGGGTCGTGGTTCAAGGCCAGCCCAGGCAAATAGGTCACAAGACCCCATCTCCAAAATCACCGGAGCAAAAGGAACTGGAGGTGAGGCTCAAGCAGTAGAGTGCCTGCTTTGCAAGAGTGAAGCCCTGAGTTCAAACTCCAGTCCCACCAAAAAACAAAACAAAAAAGAACAGTTTCATTGTAAGAATGGACTCGTAATAAGGAACAGTTCATCGTCCCCCACACCACCGCCCTGCAGCCAGCTTGTGACATCTCTCCCCTCACCCTCTCCAGATTCAGAACCCGTCCTGGATTGGCAACAATGGGGCTGCCTCACCGGTGCCGGCCTGTGTGGTCCCCTGTGACCCGGTACCTGCCTGCATGTCCCCTCACGCCCACCCCCCTGGTTCCGGGGCCAGCAGTGTCACCGACTTCCTGAGTGTCTCTGGGGCTGGCAGCCACGTGGGCCAGACGCACATGGGCAGCCTGTTCGGAGCAGCCGGCCTCAGCCCAGGCCTCAACGGCTACGAGCTGAACGGAGAGCCCGACCGCAAGACCTCGAGCATCGCTGCGCTGCGGATGAAGGCCAAGGAGCACAGTGCAGCCATCTCCTGGGCCACATGACACAGCCCCTCCTGTCTGTCCTGGCGCCCTCCCCCACCTCGGGGCCCTGGCCGTGCCCCTGCTCCCCAGGCCCCCAGCCTCTCACTCAACTCTCCCCTTAGGAACCTGGCCTGGCCCAGGGGCCTGGCCCTCAGCACTTTCAGCCACCCCAAGTCTGAGGTCCCCCCGTGCACTGCTGGGACAGAGTGAGTGGCAGACCCCTGCCCCTCCCCAGCACCGAGGCTGAGATCCCCGCTGCTGGCCAAAGGCAGTGGAAAAGCCAGGTAGTCACGTCCTGCAGCTTCGCGTCCTTATAAGCTGAGGCCTTTTCTCTCCTCCTGCTCCTCTGCCCTACCTGTTTGACCTTGAGTCAAAGTTAGGTTCCTCTCTAGACCCAGTAGCAGCAATGGTCTGGTCTTGTCCCTTTTCTGTGTGGTCCCTGGTCACTGGACCTATGGCTCTGTGTCTGAGGAACCAGTGCCCTGCAGAGTGGGTCTCTGCCTTTCCTGAAAGTTTGTGGAATCTCATCTCCTGAATCCAAGACACCTGGACAGCCACCAGGCTGATGGGCCTTGCCGACTGCAGTCTGGTGTCCCCTCTGCTGGACACACCCAGGGAGCGGGCCGCAGTGGAGAGAGGAGTTGGAGCTGAAGGACCCTGCTGTATCATCTGGAAGGATGGCCAGGCCCCAGGGGAGCTGTGAGCCAAACCTCTCACTCTGAGACTCTGGTTCCTGTGCGCACTGCAGGAGAGGAGCCAGGCATGAGGGGAACTGAGAGCATTTCACACACACCCCCCCCCCCCCCCCGCCGCCCCACTCCCAGGCCACCATGGTGCTGGAAGGCTGCAGGGAGGGCCCAGGTGGCCGGGCTGGGTGCCACTTGCAACTGCTGCTGTGGGGAGGGCTGGACAGCTGGCTGTCCATCAGCCAGTGCATCAGCCTCTGCAGGGCCCCTCCATGAGGGTCTAGGGTGCTTGTCCCTTCCTTGTCCTACCCGGGTTGCTCACTGGGGCTGCTCAGCAGAATTCTGGAGCGGAAGGACTTACAACTTGGAATAAATAAGCTAGGGCTCTGTGCCATGGTGGCAGGACTCAGGAGCGGTGGGCAGGCTCTGCCAGAGGATGCATGGCTGTGCTCAACCTCCAGGCAGGACAGCCTGGAGTGACTGCCCCTGTCTACCACCTCTGGCACAGTGTCACATCTGCCTGGAGCCTGGCACGGTAGGGGGTGTCATATCCCTCCAGGCCTAGGGGACAGTACTGCTCCCCTGTAGCCCTCCACACCCTCTTAGAGCTGCCATTTCACTTCATCCCCAGGGGCCAGGGTCAGCGCCCCTCTCCTGCCTCTGGAAGGGTTCAAGGCCAAGCTCCACTGGGTCAGCTGCTTGGTGGCAAGATGCCATCCTAAAGCCAGTTTCCCACCTGCAGGAAACAGCTCCTATCAGCCTGTCTTGACCCCACACGAGGGGTGGCAGTGGCTCTAGCCCTCACCTGAGCTGATAGCAACAGACCTACCCTTGGGTTAGGCCCTTCCTGGGAGAAGCACTGGTCTTTTCTACCTTCTGCCTTGACTTCTTTCAGTGAGGAGAGCTGGGGCCCTGAGCTCAGGGTCCTGGATACAGAACAGCCTCAGGTTGGGCTGAGCGAAACCATGTCATTGAGGACTGAGAGCCTCTGTCTGGGAACTGCCCAAGGTCTTAATAGGCATGGGGGTGTCACAGTCTCCTCTCCCCCGCATTTAGTGTCCCTGTCTGCTCTGGACGGATCTGGTTTTGGCCTCCCCTATTAAGAGTCAGACCTGTTTGTGAATCACAGCCCAAGTTGGATTTAGGTAAAAGGTTCCTCGACATTGAATGAAGTGTTCCTGAAGCCTTGGCTAGAGGTGCTTCAAATGGTTGAGGGTCCTGGAGTCCTTGCCAAGTTCTGACTTTCACAAAATAGCTCATTCTCCCCAGAAACTAGCAAGGCAAGGGGTGACATAAGGCTAGGAGTTCCCTGGTCCCTTCCTAAATGCTCTGGTGACTGCAGAAGCACGTGGGGGGATATTTCACCACAGCTGCTTCTCACACATGAGAAAATCAAAACAGAGAGCAAGAGGACCAGGACAGCTCCAGAAGACAAGGACAGGAGAGAGCTTTTGGTAGACTCTTCTGGAAGGAGCCCCTGACATTTAATTCTCTATTTTCTGAGCACACTAGGTCCATGTTAGGCAAATTTCAGCTCAAAAGCTTGAGAAGAAAAGGTCCCCATTAATAGAAAAAGGGGTTTGTGGCTATGGCCACATGTCTGCCAACACAGCCAAGCATGGCTGATTAAACATGATGGTGTAAAATGTCACCATTCACCTCTCCACAGGTAGCCACCTACCCCCATGCTGGTCCTCTGTGCCTTGCCCTCCAGGGCCTGCCTAACACTAAGGACCACACAGTTACTTGGAGGAGTTGGGGAGGAATCTAGACACCCTCTAGTCAGTTCAGTCTCTTCACCTCAGAAAAGAGTGATCAGGGCCTGAGTGGAGAAGGGACTGAGGCCATGCTGCCTAGGCTCCAAAGGCCTGGGTTTCAGTTGGTACATGGGTGACCAGTGCTGCTCAGAGCTCCCCTTGTGTCTCCATCAGCAGCTCAGCTCTCCAGAAGAGAACCTCGGGGCCCTGGGTCCTCCCCAGGCAGGTCCTCTGCAGCAACCGCTAGGATGCCTAGCAGGCTGGCTGGCTTCCAGAAGCCAGGTCTCATGAAGGTGGGTGAGAGACTACCTGTTAAGTGGCTAACTGCTAAGCGGATAAGCTGAGAGGTGAGGATTTTCTTTGGCTATGTGCCTAGCTGCTCAAAGATGCCATTGTGGGCAGCTGCAGCAGAGCGGGTAGCCAAGATCCAGGCCTGCAGGGAGCATGGCTCAGTATGCCAAGACTCCATACTGAGATGCTGCCTCCTAGGCCTGGGAACTGAGACTCTGGGACAGATAGGCCTGTCTTCATGTCTGGGATGGCACTTGGAGGACACAGGCTTTCATGACTTTCCTTGAATTCTTTTAACTATACTTGATTCTCGCTCTCTGGACCATGCCTCGAGCTTTCAGAAGCAGGGTGATTGGGGGTGGGGGTGAGGGAGCATGAGTGAGGGGGACCCCAGTACATACTTCTGTGCCCACACTGGACTCAGCTCTGATGCTCCACTTGTCATCATCCCTACTGGATAGACAAGGGAATGTTTCCATGGAAACCACCGTGCCCCTGTAAGCAGTCACTCACTCTGGGGCTATCCCTGGGGGGGAGACAGTCTCTGAGGGCTCTGCCCACAGGTACAGAGGCAAACAGGCCCAGCTGGGGGAGAGTGGCTGGCATTCTGGCCTCCAGGGTCATAACCCATGACCGTCCCATTAGAAAAGATGACAGAAACCCTATTTCCCAAAGTCTCCATCAGCCCCACTTCATCATAAGGCTGCTGGGGAGAGGAGAGGAGGCTCCGGTTGAACGTTTTCTCCCCTCCCCTCGCCTTTCTCACCCTTCACTCACACATAGAGCTAGGCCTTTGTACTACTGATTTTGAAGGACAATTTTCAGTGTCTAATAACCTGTTTGGGTGTGCAGTGGTTGAAAAAAGAGAGCGCTGAGTGCGAGACGGAACATGAACCTCAACCGACACTTGCTGTTGTCATTGTAAGATATTTTAACCCTGTATAAGTGCAACTTCTCCTTTAGCTTATGGCCTGGGGGTGGAATATTCAAATATATATATAAATATTAAAGATACATTAAAAATTCAGAAAAATGTAAAAAAAAAAATGAGGTCAGTTCCATGAAGTTTTACTGCCTATACCACCACGTAACTACATTATAGCAAAGTATTAAAAGAAACGTTCTTGCCTTTTAAGTAAGTTATTGCACTTACATCTTTTGGGGGAGGGGAGGAAAGTGGTGAGAAGGGGATTTAGGGGCGAGGTGCGGGGCCTGAACGCAGAGCAGAGGCCGCCGGACGCTCCCAGCGCCTCCTTTGTTGGGCACAGCCCAGTCTGTCTGTTTGGTTGTTGTTTGCAATAAACTCCTTCTCCTTCCTCCTCTCAACTGGAATCTGTCTGTTTTGTTCCTGACTTATGACAGATGAAATGTGATCAGAGAGGCCTCTGAAATCTCACGTTAATTGAAGTCGGCAAAAAATACTAACAGTGCCCTTTTGAACTGCTGACACAGTGCAGAATGGATTACCAGGCTAGATTAACAACAGGTGGCTGGCTGATGCTCCTGCACAAAGAGCGGTGCGTGGCCTGTGAGGGTCTGGGATGTGCCCCCTTCCTCCTTGTTGCACAGCAGGCGAGCTAGAGGGGGCAGGGGCACCAGAGCCCGCCCCTCAGGCAGCAGGAGGGGTCGCAGCAGAAGCAGCTCCTTGCCTCTGAGCATCTAGGGTGTGCTTGTCACAGACTGTGCCTCGAGGACTTCCCAAAGCACTCCATGTCCTCAATGTCACAGTGCTGCTGTTTCCAGGGGCTGCTCTGGAAGCAGGAGGAGAGCCAGGGCACGGAAGTCCTGCTGTTTGGCACCAGAGCGTAGGACAGGCCTCCAGGACAGACAGCTCCCAGGCATGAGCAGGTGATTTTTAAAGCCAGGCTGTAAAGACAAATGATGAAGCAGGAAGAGAGCCAGGAGAAGGGAGCCATCTTTGATGACCAAACCAGCCAGCCCTCTGTTCCACAGCTGAAGTGTAGGAATAAGACTCTCCCTGTCTCCTTTACCAACTCGCCAGGAGGACTAAACAGATGACATATGACAAGAGCTTTGTAAGCTGGTGTGACAACGTGGCACAAAGAACAATGACTGTTTCCAGCTAGGAATCTGATGGAAACCCCTTCTCAGCCTCTCTTTCCAATGGTTTGAACACTTTCTTGGAGCTATCTCTCAGACGTGCTACCTGTAGGAGGTAGATTCACACTCAATGTAGTCCCACTGAGTTTCAGGAAGGCCTGACAACTTTAAGAAGTAACTCTGTCACACATTAGGGGCCTGGGTCACCATACCACTTGGACTGTCA